TTGCGAAATGAAGTAGACTTAAGGGTTTGTTGTTCCTTTTTCTGAGAGGAGTTATTTCATCAACACCGAAAAGTAGAGTACCAAGATTGGTTCATTTCAAACTAGTGACTGCATAATTTTCATTTTTTGATTAGCGTGTGAAAAATGAAACCCCTTTTCTCGTGTTTGGTAAATATACGTACATCTGCACGATATTAAAGTCACGGTAAAAATCATTTGAAAATAATATTTTTATTTGATGAAAAAATTACACAGTGGAGAACATGGTAAAAGTATTAATTGTACTAAACAATGTGACTTCTCCATATGTTAAGACACGTGTTGCATGAAATTGACATGTAAAATGGTTATTTCATCAACAGTCGGCGGGTTGACGTCTTATGTATAAGGAAACCGTAATATATTCTTGATTTTATTTCACTAGTAGATGAATTTGACAGCTGAAACCACCAAAATGGAATTAGAATTCCTGACATCGTCCATGGGAAGAGCTGTAAGCCGTTGAATCCACAGGTTTCGAAAACTCACGTGCCGTATGAGGTCTTTTGGGACATTTGCAGACTGTGTTAATTGCCCCGGGGCAGAGGGGATACCGCCTGTTCTAGTATGGAGGAGGGGGACGTAAGTTTGCAATGGTGTCGAATCCATCAACAGCTCTCACGCATCATTACCTATCTAAATTGAAGATGAAGTTTATACGTTCATCGCGTAGCTAATATGACGGCGACAAAATTGAGATCCCTGCTGAATTGAGAATTAATGAGCTATTTAATTTCTGAAGTTTCCCTGACCGCAAATTAAAATAATTGGTCTCTATTGGGTATGGAATATGTGACAGTTAACTCATTTTTAACGTAATATGTGCCATTTGTAACGAAAAAAACCCCTGAATTTTCTTTTTGTTTAGACAAGAGTGATTTTTTTTGGGGAATTATCAAATCGTGTTTTTACTGTGAAGATATAATGGTGTGTATGTATGGTTTATAATTCATTGTAATAATTATTTGTGATGTCGATACATGTGAATTGTTAACGTGAGAGAAATGTCCGTTTTTATCAATAACATAATTAATTGATTTATTGATTTTCATGAACTTTGATTGAGGCTTTTCTCGATATGCATTATATGACATGGGTACATAAACACCATGATTCATTATTATGTTATTATTGCTGTTTAAATTTTAAAATTATGAGATTAAAAAAAAACAAGAAATATAGAATTGCTTCGTGGAGGATGTATCAGTACATTTTTGCACTAGTAAATTATCTTGATAACGACCATCTGACCGCAGGTTCCGCGCCTCTTATGAATAATTCATGACATTCATATTACACGTGTAAACATATCGGAACATGTAATACCACACAACTGTCTTCCCGTGAATCCATTTACATGTGCATATGGTACAAACATATACCAATATCTTTGCCTGCACGTGACCAACCATACCGGTCGTTTCACGATGGGGTTCGAACCTCAGAACAACAGGGTTTCCACCCCTCGTCGTCCTGTAAGTAAACAATTGATTATCATCATATCGCTTACATTATGAATATAATACGGAGTTACCATGAACAGGTAATTTTTAAAAATATTTTAATTTCCTGGACGGTGAAGTGTGGAATGGGATCTGGTGCATTCTACGTGAAAATATTGTGTATTCTTATATAGCCTTAACATTGATAGAATCGTTCTGTCCACTGTGATGTTGGCAGATATCATAACTTCAGGGTTAAAAATCTGTCTATATAGCACAGGGGTGATTTATCATTTTGAAACCTAGCTGACATACTTTCTATCAATGAAATTACTTAAACCACAATGAGAATGTATATGATTTCCAAAAAAAGACACTAAATGTAGTCAAACGTCTTAAATCTCCAATCCAGCGGATCCGTTATTCGAATCCGCAATCTCCAATAACGAACCCGTTGCTAACTTCCTCCATGTTGTCGTTTCCATTGGGATAGGTAGGTTTACTTGTGTTAGAAAGATAAACTTGTGACTGAACACAGTACAGTAAAATGAGACCGTACATTGTAGTATCGAACTGATATCAGACATTGTTAACGGACCGCTAGCAAACAGCGCGGATATGATCTCACCCTAGAAATAAAAACTTTTTTGAGCAACCTGGGATAGTGATAAAATTCATCTGTTGTCCTCCTTTACGTCGGAGTGAAAAAGGCAACGCTCGGGCTTGGAAGCCTGTTATGTTCACGACGTGCTCCCTGTGAACGTTGTAGCAACCCCAGTAAAATGGTACTGTACAAGGCTACAGAGTATTTAAGGTATCGTGTCCTGGGCGTAATTTCACAGAACAAAACTCTGGTTTCTGAGTATCATAATATAATATGTTATAAAATTATACAATAACAATGATTTCATCGCTGTGTTATCTTCAAGCGTTCCTATAACTCTGTGTACCCAATAACTCTGTCACCACAAGATCTGTGACATATGACCATATCATTTTCTCAGCTGTGATGACGTTTTTCAAGTCTGTGACGTCACATTTACGTTGAATATTAGTTCCCTTCTGCCTTGACAATATGTAAGATAAGCTATCCTCTCAATTAAAAATAATTAACTACATTATGTGTATTTAAATAACTTTTGTTGAAGTGGCGATCAGCTGCATACATTACTTGATCAATATTTTCATTCCATTCAGCGTCGTGACGTCACACTAAAACTCGGTTAAGTCCCTTTAATTTACATGATATGTATTGAGTACGATATTTTGCAAAGACTCATTAACGCAAGAAAGGGTAAATAGACTGCTGGCTGATGCCCTTCACTAGAGACACACACAGGTGGTGTACCGTATCAGCTATACCAAATGATGATTTTTACAGACTTACCGAACACGGTGTTGAACATGAAGTCTTAAGGTTCAGTCGCTGATCATTTTGTCTATTTGACAATAAAACTAAGGTATACGTGATGTTTAAACCTCAACAAGAAACGTCCGTTTAGGAGCGAATCAGGATGTCCGGACAGACCGATTGAGACACTTTGTATCAGTTATGGGTTTGACCTAACGAAAGTTATACCTTATATGGATCTTTTCACAATTCACAATCAAACTGCATACATGTATAGTTTACATGTAGCCTTCGTGTTTCGTCCGTCGTTGTACGACATGAGATGTACGTAAACTTCTTATTTCAAACTTTTTAATTTTTACAACAAAAAAAAACAAAACAGATATGGCTGTCATGACCGGTTTCATGAAAACTGCAGTTTAACTGGTGTCACTGTGCTGAAAAATTAATAGATGTTTAGGAAATTCCATACTAAATCGTTATATCGAGAGACAATTAACCATCAAGGTGTCCTCATTCAGTAACCATAGAAAATCTCGTTATACCGAGAGACAATTAACCAGGAGGGTGTCCTCATTCAGTAACCATAGAAAATCTCGTTATATCGAGAGACAATTAACCATCAAGGTGTCCTCATTCAGTAACCGTAGAAAATCTCGTTATATTGAGAGACAATTAACCATCAGGGTGTCCTCATTCAATAACCGTGGAAAATCTCGTTATATCGAGAGACAATTAACCACGAGGGTGTCCTCATTCAGTAACCGTAGAAAATCTCGTTATACCGAGAGACAATTAACCATCAGGGTGTTCTCATTCAGTAACCGTAGAAAATCTCGTTATATCGAAAGACCATTAACCATCAGGGTGTCCTCATTCAATAACCGTGGAAAATCTCGTTATATCGAGAGACAATTAACCACGAGGGTGTCCTCATTCAGTAACCGTAGAAAATCTCGTTATATCGAGAGACAATTAACCATCAGGGTTTCCCCATTCAATAACCATAGAAAATGAAGTAAACATTGTTTTTTTTACCACCGCGTCAAAACTTCAACATGGCAGTCAGGACGGCCATTTTGTAAAACGATTTTTCATTTCCCGCCAAACAAATTCCATTTCTTACTTCTAAGGTCCCACTTAACCACTGACTACACTTTGTCTTTACAAGTAACACAGAATAAATGTTGACAATGAAACAACAATTTACCTTTAAAGGTCAAATTTCACTTAGATAAAAAAAATTCCCAAGGAAAACAACGAGGAGATTATTTATAAATATATGTATTTTTATTGATGATACAATGTAGTTACGTAACAAACAGCATCTCGAATATTAACACTCACTGCAAAATGTATATATATGTGTATGTATGAGATTACAAAAGTATCAAATCAGTTCAGCTTAGCATCTATTGCTGCTTTTTTAAAGATTAGCAAGGTAAATATACATTATAAAAAGATCACAGCAAAAACATATTCAAGAGCACATCACCAGACAATTATTCTCAAACAAACTATGTAACAAGAACAGGCATTATACAAAACATTTTATGAGTTTTATTATAACACGTAGATCTATATCTCAATATTAAGTATGTTTACCGAATGTACCTATCATCTGTGATTTAACACAAATGATACCTCTTGGAAGAGATTCAATAATTTTATTTTTTCCTCATAAGACACGCGGTAAACACTTGTTTCTTTCGACATATTAACAATGAAGTTTATATCTTTTGGCAAATCATCTACCGCACGACACAGAGTTCATCAGACACATCATTTGTGATACTAGACACATACAAATGAAGTGTTCCCGTTCCGAGTGCTGGAATGTCGTATCAACGCATGCACATTGTTTCCAGAAGGTCGGAGTTGTTTGTTGACTTCAACAATGTCACGTGATAAAACAGTGTCACGTGTCAAGCCTATGCACTATTGACAAGATGATCTGGGATTAATTGCATTGTTGTGTAAATAGTTATTGTATTGAAATGAACTCGACCAACTTGCAGCCAAGTGGAGAGACAAGAGTCATTGTCTGGAAATAATTTCGACCAATCAGCTACCGAGGAAAGCATAAGTCGTCATATGAACGTAATTTCGACCAATCAGCTACCGAGGAAGACAAAAATTATCATATGAAAGTAATTTTGACCAATCAGCTACCGAGGAAGGCTACAGTTGTTATTTTCCCGATGTTTAGACAACAAGGACATTCTGGAAAAAGTCTTGTTACAGTTTTTGCAGGCATATTTCTTAATATCGGAATGTGTCTGAAGATGTGCCCTAAGATTCGACCGATCTGCAAAAGCCCGGCCACAATGTTCGCAGCGGAAAGGTTTTTCACCTGTGTGGGTCCTAATGTGGCCCTGAAGGAGCCACGGGCGTGAAAACGCCTTCCCGCAAAGTTTACATTTACATGGTAACGTATGTGTCCGGATATGCATTTTCAACGCTCCTAAGGAACCGTAAGATTTGCCACAAAATTTACAGCTGAATTCCTTCTTTACGTTTGTGACACAATGGAACTGTTTGTGTTTCGATAGCCCACCATATGTTGAGTAGCTCTTTTTGCAGTCATCACAATGGTACCTGGGAGGAGACACTGGTATCCTGGACGTCTTATTTGCGATCTCGGGTTTGATAGCTAAATCTCGTGATGTCTCGTGTCCTGAATTCAGAAAGTACGCAGCATCCAGCCATGGCAGCCATTGTGTTTGGTTTGTAAGAGCGCCATCTATATTGGAAGTCGATATCGGCTGTCGCCTGTAATCTGAATATTGTTTAGTCAACAAGTATTGCTGGTGCTGATGGCACATGCGCGAGAGTTCTTGTAAATATAACGAGTCACGAGAGTACGCGTGCGTTGATGGACATGGTACCATGTTTGTCACTTCGCTGTATAAAGATGTCAGTGTCGTTTTTGACAAAATGGAGGCAGGATGAAGAAATGATGTCTGAGGTCCAGGGGCCGGAAATGCCGATAACGCATGCGTGTTTGACCCTCGATAACGAAAGCTCTGAGTTCTTTCTGGAAGAAACTCCGGTGATGCACCGCTCTTTATAATTGGTGTAAAAGCACTGTCCGCGTTTTCTTCGGGAATTTTGGAATTTGAAGTCGAATTTTCACACAAACTGTCAAGGATCTGTCTGATGGGATCACGTTTCCTTTGCTTGATTTCTGTCGGAGACTCCAAGTGTGTTGTAGGTTTATTGAATTTTGGTATATCTAAGATTCGTGCCATCTCCATGGCCAAATGGTGCTTCTCTCGTTCTGTAACAAATTTAGGCGCTCCACCAAAATCTTTGTTATCTGCAAAGCAATAGACGATAATTAAATTTTGTGGTCACCAATTTAAGAGATCTCGATTAATTTCTATATATCCGGTCAAAACGAACACACAAAATAAATAAATGAGGACCATTTGCTTATTTAAGAGTGAATTAAAGAGAAACCATTTTTTTCGGAATACAGGTATCTATATCGGACCATTAGATTGCGATGATTTAGAAGTTGGCACCTAATTTAAGTTACACAGTTGATTTTATTTATAACCTCTTCGGATTTTTTAAAAATTATTGTTTGATGATAAGCTAATGCTGAAGATACCACGGATAAAACTGAACAATACAGAATCATCCCCTTTCTATCTTTTCTCATTAATTGAAAATGTTTTGTATAACGTATAAAACCACTAGAGGACTATCTGTTGAATTTTTGATAAATTTAAAAAAAAAATCATAACAGCATCGAATAGATCAAAGTTATGTTATGACACCTTACAAAATATCTAGACCTGTGAGAGTAGTTTGTATTAAAGGGCAGTATACATTTATACCGAAAGATATATCGAAATTATAGGTACAAGGAATATTGCGATATATCAAATTACACGAGTATTACTGATTAAAATTTATAGACAACATTTTTGTACAAGGACATGATACGACATTTAAAGTGAAAAAAATAACATGCCCATAACACAAACCATTCCTATAGAATTAACACACTCCTACTCCTGTCTTAATTAGATGTAATCGTACATTTGCAGAAGAAAAAATGATTTTGTTTCGATTTCACCCATTTTCACCCTTCATGTGTTCTGTCTGCCCCGTTCGTCATCACCCCTTATATCGGGTCTAATCTGTAAGGGTTATGCGTTTTTTTTACTCGAGGGAGCCAATCAACGAGAAGAATTGTGCACATCATGACGAGTCCTAACTTATGGGAATTTTTTTATGATGTGTTCATCACTGAAAGGCTTTAAATCGATAGTTTACAGTTCTTATTGTGAACATAAAATGTACTGTTACGGAATAATGCGTTTAAAAATTGCTATGTATTGGTTACTATTATCTATAATAAGAGAAGCTTTTTAGAAAATAAATCTTTGAGGTAAAAACAAATAGTTTTTTTCCAGTAGTTAGATCGCCGATATATAATTAATCCAACGATTAAAAACTGAAGTAAAATTCACAGCACCCTACCTTAATAAAATCAGTTAACGTTTTTAATTTGTTAGAATGTGTTTCTTATAAAATGATTTTCGTGATGATTCTATCTAGTAAACTGAAAGCGAAACTAAACAATGGAAATATAAGTAAGATATCACCTATATGTAGAATTACCACACAAAATTAGAAAACTGACCTCTTGTTTTCCATACACCTTTCATGTCTACCTATTTCCTATTATAAAATAATCTTAAATATGTAAGGAGTGTTATCGAGATATTTTTGCAATAACAACTCTCGGGCCACTCATATTCTTACTGAACAAACACTCAGCTCAACACCTTCAACACGTAAACTAGGAAGAAATTAATCTTTTACATATAAAACTTGGGATAAAGCGAATCATGGTATTTTATATAGAATCTGAAGATTTATTAATAATCATAAATCAATTGATATGTACATATTTAAGATATTTCCATTGTTGAATATTTGAAAAAGATTTCCCTGGTCAAATTTCATGACGATTGTTTCGGTCTATCAATACAGTCTTGTGTTATTTCTTCAGAAGAGATTGTACCTGTCAGATTTGTAGACGAATAACTGCAGAAATCAGCACCAGAAATGTTTTTCGTGTAATCTAGGCATAGATAAATAATCTTTACCTTCTAACTGAACTGATCAAATGTTCAAAACCGAAAACTCCTACCCTTCTACGGTTTAAGAAAATATTGGCTTAATAAATAATAGTTCTTCGCCTTTTACAAGTTGCCAGTACATGTACAATGTACCCACTCGAGAAAGTGAGTTAAAAGTCTTTTTGTTATTCATAATAACAAAATGGTTTTCTTTTTTAATCAAACAGCAATTCTAAGCGATGTGTAAATGTGCGTGGTAAATACGTACAACTATAAATATAGGAAATGAAAATGCCAACATATAAAATAATGTTTTTAGGTGAACTAAAAAATCTTACCTTGTTTTCCTTCTTCGACAAGAAAAATATTCCAAAGAAAGTCTTGCCTGAATTCTTTTGTAGTTGAAATCAGTCCGATGAAAAAAATCACTTTGAGATAATGGTATTCTTCATCTGTGTAAAAAGTTGTGAACTGACTCTAATTTTTCTGTCACACTACACTTGTTTTCTTGACAACTGTACGCTAAACTCTGTTTTACATGATGTTAAATATAAACTCGGGGATGTTCATCATAATCTTCAACTCAGATTAGTTTGACGGACAGGTTGATGTCATGAGAGGGTGTGAAATGTACATCGTCTTCTCTTGTGTATAATTTATTTGTGGGCGGGCACTTTGATTGCAGTACCCGCCTCTTGATGATGTCACAGGTCTCACGTCCAATCAAATGCCGTCATTCACCAACTGGAGCGCGTGCTGGGCTAAGTGGTTTGCATTTAATCAATTTAAATGCCTTTCGGAACTCCCACTGTGTTACAGCAACGATATTCTCTCCCACCGGAATCTGTGTCAGTCAAGTTTTGCCAGCCAAACAAAATGGCGTGAAAGGTGACAGAACTGACACGAAATGTTTCATGCCTGTTTACCACCTGTTTCTTTGAAGTTCCAATATTTCTCAGTGTTTTCTAGTTTTTGAAGATTGGAGTATTTACATATGTATATAAGTGTAAAATTATTGAAATGCATACCCCAATGATCATTGCACACTCAGATACACGTGTTAGCGCACTCTCACGTATAAACATTTCTGACATTAGAAGATACTTTGCAGTTCTCATGAAAAGAAATTCTTTCAAGTTGAATATAAATTTCTTGCTAAAATGTTTGATCATTTTAGTACATGTATATATTTTCAGATGTATAAAATTCCGAGTATGTCAAGAGTCAAAAAGAACCCCAAATGTTTCCATAGGTTCTAATTGTAGGTGTTTATAGTAGGAAATGATACTGTTCTGCTCGCCAACTGTGTTTAGGAAATAATTCTGTCTCAAATATTTTTAAAAAAATCAGAACAATCTGCTTTTTTCAATCGATCTACAAATGCATTATTATAAAATATTAGATTTTTAAAAGTGCCATTGCCTTCATATTTGTACTATCGCCTGGATATCTCTAGTGCTAGTGCGAGTAAATCCAACTATACATTTTGAAAGAACATTAAACAATCCAAACTGATGTTCTAATGAAAATGTCATTTTACAAGAAAAATATCCAGAGTTGTATACCATAAAACTTAAAACTCTGATGTTGTAGGTCTCCGCTTGTACACAGCGCTTTTATTTTCTTATTCAAACAAGAGACTTGAAAAATATTAATGATGATACAATGTATCATTGCCGGGAGTTGAAACGTCGCAATGAAAAAAAAACAATAAAAAAATGATAATTAAAAAAAAAAGTGACGTTGATAGTAGCGTTATTATATAACCACTACAATCAACTTTTCTCAGAATTAAAAATTCACGGACGAATGATACATAAATATATGAGTTTTATTGAGTATGTGTTGGATTTCATCAAAAGCGATCATAAATTTTGATGATATATATGGAATGTCGAAGTTGAAACAAACTATGACTCAATCAGACCATCGTCCACTTCTCTCCTACTTGAGATCGGCAATCGCAGACGTCTGTAGTCAACCGAAAAGTTTTCTCAAATACCTGATATTATTTGACCAGTTGACCTACCGTCTTTGTTGACCAGTACTTGACTTACCTGAGTAAACACCTGTGTTTTGTACCTGTGATGCGATTTACCTGTATATTACAGGTACCTGTTTGGATTTTCGTTTCAAACACTTGTTTCCTAATGTTATTTCGCTAATACTTTTCTGAAAACCGGTGTCCACTTTTGATCTTTGACAGAAATGCCGGAAAATATCTTTCATTTTTAATCTGTTATCACTGAAGTTCAAACAAGATATCTATGCAGAGCTAAATCCACGCGGGAAATGCCAATATTAAGTCTACTTAAAATAACACTACACTTATGTATATTTACGAACACGGGAGCGAAACCATTAAATGTAAATACACGTTACCTGTTTATTTTCAGTAATGTTCTTCACACAGATATATACCCTAATATTTAATTACGGGATTAAGTGGAAACATGCCCGTTCTTTAGTAAGAAACATATCTATTTTCACGCGAATGTTTGATCAATCCAATTTTCATTTATACAAAAATTATTTCAAAACGCTTTCGTTTTGTTTGAGAAAGATCAGAGGGAATTCGTCAAGGCTTCCGAAAATATCAGTCAGACACCACAGTTATATTTTCAAGACATTTTCGAATTAAAAAATAAGTTAAGACGTCAGTTTTTAATCCGTTAACGGTCTAGTGATTATAACATATCAGTTTTAGGGATTTATTTTGCTAGTAACGTGGTGCAATGTGATTATCTATTAAATTTTGCAACTTATTTCTAATATGGAACTTAAATTTTAGTTCGGAAACAAAATTCAACGCATGTGATAACACATGTATACACAATGTTACATGAATTAATTGTTTTGCAATTTTTACAAATGGAACCCTTTTACCAGATCACGGTCTTAGAATATTAGAATATCTGATGTCCGTGACCAGATACAGTGTATGTAACATGAACGATGTTGCTGAATTCAGTCATCAATCGTGCCAGGTTTGATTCGGTCTTAGACTTTTAAAACTATAACTAAATCAGACGAAATCGACAAATGCACGAGAGAATGATGAAAAGAAAGAAAAGAACATGAATGAAATTATGCGCATGCAGGCAATCTAACAGTTTATGTCCAACTCAAGCACTAAAGAACAGCAATACTGTAAAAGT